AAGCCTTGCTCCTTAAAAACCTTCATTTCTCTCTGTATGTGGATACTTATACTGAGATAATTCAGGGATAGTTTTGCTAACACCTATGGAGAAAGCTGGTTAAAATCATTGGGTATGTTGCCCATTAAGGCAGATTCTCTTGTCTCTTACTACCAGCGTGGCACGATTTCCAGTGACTACTTTAACCTATTAATTTAAAAGCTGTTTCTGAAATGCTAGTTTAAGTAAATGGAAAAGATCTCTCATTTTAGATGAGTGGAACCAAACAAAATCTTCCAAAAAACATGTCAAGCAGAAGAATTGGAGAAATACAAATAAAATGTTTCCTGTTCATTCCAAGTACAGGAGGAACAGTTAATTTGTGTCAGTAACCTCTTGCATTATCTGGAGGGGTATGACATTATTGGCACTAGAGTTGCCTTCAGTTTGAATAACCATGTTGTTATTATAAGAGAACTAATAATGACTTGGTGAGACCCAGAATCCCAGTTAAGGATAACCTTTCACTTTCCTTTTCTAGCACACTCTCTCTCTTTTTTCTCCCATTCCCCTCCCCTCTCTTCAACCCTTTTTCGCTTCCTTATTTACAAAACTTTGTTTCCATTTTACTCATTTTTCCTCATTTCTTTTTCTTTTCCCTTCCATCCCTCCCCCCAATTCTCCTTTCCTTTTACTTCCTATTTCACAATATGTATTCCGCATTTGATCCCTCCTCCACATTTAAGAGTCTCTGTTTGGAGAAGAAATTGTAAAAATCATTATATATTATATTATATATATACATACATAACATATATATATATATATATATATATATATATATATATATACACATACGTAACCAGAACTGTTTGATTCTCCTATAACACTATTGAAAAGTATCAGCACCAGGGGCTGGGGATTTAGCTCAGCGGCATAAGCGCCTGCCTTGCAAGCAGGCAGTCGTGAGTTCAATCCCTGGTACCGGGAAAAAAAAAAAAAAAAGTATCAGCACCAAAGCACTGCATTAACTGGCTACTAGTATTATGGTATCCTGTAGAATAGACACAGTACTTGATGTAGACTTGATCTAGTAAGGAATTTAATTTCTCTTGAAGTCTGTTAGTCTATTGAGTATTTTGAAGTAATATAAAATGACATTATCTGATGGAGCAAGTTGCTGAACAGCAGAAGATTATGCAATTGCCTCTCTGAAGATTGTTCTAAGGAACATCAATTGTGAAACTTCTTGAAGTAGCTTAAATATATACCTGTCTGAAGACATGACACTAGATTACTTGATTGCTTGTGATTTTTCAGTGCTAAGAGTTTTGTGAATTCAAAATTGTAGAATAAATTGAGAGCTTATGATAAAAGATAAAAGAAGGTTAGAGTTTAGTCATCTTCATTAGATACATTTCTAAAATACTTATTGAAAAATCATACATTTACTACTAGAAGAGCAGTCTCTAATTTCACTGGTTATAATAGCTAGAAAAATTTCATCCAAATTTTAGTTATCTAATGTGATTATCTTTGGCTTTGGTGAACTTTTAGTATGACATATGTGTGCTTTATGAGAAAAATCTCTAGAGCACATTTGAAGTTGAACAAGTACTCCTACAGTATTCATTAGTCTCAAGTATAATTCTGAATTAAAAGAGTAATCCCAAAATTACTTGTCATGAACATGTACTGCATTAATAGCTCCTTCCCGGGGCTATTCTGAATATTTATGACTAATTGATAATTTTATTTAACCATCTGCTAAAAGCTCAGTGGGTGTAATATCTTACAGGAATATTTTGTATTATGTGTCCATAATTTCTGAACAATAAAACTGACAAAAGTCAAATCTGTATTTGCAATATTATATACTCCATTCTTAAATGCTTTATTATAAAAAGTCAGACAGAAACCACCTGTTGATTCTGTATTCTAATTTTTATAGACATGCACTGACAGATATGGTCTCTTCAGTATGAGAAGAAATAACCCACTATATCACCATGATGATCACAGAATTGCTAGAAATCTACCAATGTATCTTCATGACTTCATCCACATTCCCTAATTTTTGTTAAAATATCCATAGAAATGCTGGAATTTTATTTTTAAATTCATTAATAGTATATTTGACCAGACCTGTGAAAGAAGGAATAAAAAATATTTTGAGAACAGAAAATGTGATTGAGAGGTTACAAATCTTTCTTTGGTGTCAAAGTGTGGAAAAGGTAAAGGTAAGGTTGAATTGTAAATGGCTAGTTTTAGAGGAAGCAGGGAAGTACCCATAGTTTTCAGTAAAGCTATAATTTCTAACATTTCCAAACATAACTTGAGCAAACTTACAGTTCTTCTTTTATCCTTAAATGAGATCTTTTCACTTTACATCTTTAGTATCTTCAAGTTTCTCCAGTTCTTTTCCCTTTAATTGGTCGATTACTTTGTACTCAAAACTTGGCGAATGAATATGGAATGGAAGACATATATATATATGGCTCCACTGCTCAAAAATTTGTCTTTAATAAAAACACTTAAGGCCATGTTGCTACTAACTTTTATTCCCTGAAATGCTTTTACATTTTTTTATTTTTATTTCCAAGATGAATACTGGTTGAGGCTTTCAAGTATGTTTGTAATACTGATTTTGATAGTTGAAGTTTATTTTTGAATATCCAGTGAAGATAGTGCTTTGGTTCAGTTGTTTTTATTGTCTCGTTGTTTTGTTGAGATATGCTAATGACACGTGTAAAATGCATAGACCCCACAAACATCATTTTCATATAATGCTCAGGGATGGTTTTGTGCTTAAATTTTCATGTCGGAGAGGCTAATATATAATATTTTGTGCAAAATTATACTACTGAAAACTATCTGGAAACTAGTATATGTCCACCTTTGTGACTTAGCAAATGCAGCTATTGTTATTTTTGTGTATCTTACAGTTCTTTTTTTTTTTTTTTTTTTGTCTTTTTCCTTTTTTATCGGTACCAGGGATCGAACTCACGACTGCCGGCTTGCAAGGCAGGCGCTTATGCCGCTGAGCTAAATCCCCAGCCCCGTATCTTACAGTTCTTTAGAAACAGCATTAAAATATTTGTGATTTATTCTGTGGAAGAAATAAAGAGACAGTCTATCTACTACTTATTAATTCTAAACATTTATGATTTTCTGCAAATATTTAAGATTGTCAATTTGTTTTAGGTTTTTCAATTTTTTTCTGTACTTGAAACTGTATTTACATATATATGGGCACACATATGTCAATATGGGTATATATAAACACGTAGATTGTTACATGTTCAAATATAGTTGTTATGAAAGTCCTGTAAATTCTCATTAAAATTAATCAATTCTTAGTTAGTTTTTACATTTTATTTTAGTTTTATAAAATAAATTTCCCCAAATTTAAATACTCAAGTTCACAGGCACTCTGTGTTTGCACAACTCTGATAACTCTGATTTGAAAGATTAGTGGAGTCTGAAAGGTGTGTAGATCAAAATTTTAGTTTTGTTTCCTCTGTCTCTCTGTCTCTTGCTATCTCTCTCTGTCTCTGTCTGTCTCTCTCTCTCACACACACACATACACATGAATACCCCCAAATTATTTTTATGTTCTATTGTTTTATTATAGTGTATATGTGTGTACATAATAATTACATTCATCTTGAAAAATTGGTACATATACACATCACATCTTCATGGTTTTCAAGTTCTTCTTATTAACAGTTCAATGTGAGCAAACTTCAGAACATCAAAACCTGATCCTTGGAATAGTTTTATAATGCCAGAAGTGTATATGGTTAGATGTTTAGCATGGAGAAAGAATGTAATCAAAAAGTGAAATAGAAAAAGAAGAAGAAAGAACTGAGAAGTCTAAACATTCTATTCCCAATAAGGATCTCTAAGCACAAAAACCAAAGGATCCTTACCTTAGTTACTAGAATCCACACTGAATAGTTCTTCAGTGTCAGTGTAAAGGTCGATAGTGACATGTTTCACTCCATAAAGATGTAGGATGTATTTCCACAGTGAGGGAAAAAGAAATTCTCAGCAAATTTGATCCAGTTTTCTCTTGACTATCATGTTACCATACTGAAGGTACTGAGTACTGAGTGAAGAATAATCCACTATATAAATATTAGGTAGGGTTTTGTGACATAACAAATAACTCTAAAAGTAGCTTATGGAGATAAAATGTGCTCACTCAAAAGTTCTTTGATAAGTTATTCAAATTTACTTCTTAGGGTAGTACCTTAGATATTGTCACATTTTAATCCACAAGAGAAACTAAAGATTTTTGTTTCAGCCATTTTATGCTACTGATTTTGTTGGCAATTTTCAGTATTATCCCATATGCTCTGACTGCTCAAATGCTATCTATTGGCTAACAACTGGCTGCTATATGGAATGGTTGTTATATTTAATAGAGTAAACATCAATTTTCTTATTTTGTTATTAATCTGCTGTTGGTGGTCTCTGTAGAATATTATTGGTCAAGGCAAATGTATAAATAGAGATTTCTAGGTACAAGCAGATTGCTTTACTTTGAGGAAAAAACCCTAAAATTTGCAAAAATGTTCATTTTATTAAAATTGTTTTATTTTTCCATATAAAAATAAAATGAAATCTTTGTTTTAGACAAAATTATTATATAATTTATTCTAGTGGTTTGCAAATTAAGAAGGATATATTCTTAATTCTTTTTTAAAAAATATTGATTTGAAGGACTGTGTATGGCAACAGGCAGATACTTAGTACAATCATATTTAAATAAAATTTGTGCAAGCAATTTAGAGAAATTGTAGATGGTAGCGCATTGGAAAATAAATGAAAAATTTGTTCTCTTTGCTACTGTTTTTCACTGCCACAATATAACAGGGTTACCTATGTGTTAAATTAAGTACTGCCTGTTTCTTATCACTAAATAAGTGCATTTAAGTTTGTTAAATTGGTTATTACATAAGTTATTTACAATTTTGAACTAATTTTCTGTTTCTTTTCTTTTTTTCTTTCCCCAGAATAGAGGATATGATAAATTCAATCTGCTAATTTTCTCATCTCAATTTTAAACGTTGGTTGCTTAAGACTGAAGTAATCATGGTGAACCTAAAGAATGTGGTGCATTCGTTCCTGTAAGGATGTTATTACTTATTACTTTAATGAGTAGATAATTTTTATGGTAACTTGCTTAAATATGTTCAAAATTCTTCTATATGACCGTTCAGGTATTTCTGCCTCAAACAACATAAACCAGTCTCAGCCAAAAAGATTAATATTATAGATGTTTCATATTTCAAAATAGTAAATGGGGAAAAATAATTTGAATGTAAAGTAAAATTACAGTTCATGCACTCAAACAAATAATATGGTAATAATACCCTGAATTCAAATAACCCTAATTCTCATAGTTGTTTTCTGTATAAGTAAAACTTAAAAAGGAGAAAGGTTTCTATCTTTTTTAAAATGTGATGTAAGTGGGCAAGACAAAAAGATGTCTCAATAAGTTTTTGACTTTAGGAAGAATAATAGAGGTTGCAAAAGAAAAGGCCAGATGTTGGATGTAAGGGTTGGTTGATGTACATAGACAGACAAAAACATTGCCAGCTTGGGAAGTCTTGATATGATCTAACAGTTGAAATCATTAGAATGCAACAGAAAAGGGGAATCAGCTTGAAGAACTAAGAGATTCTAAATCTGATTTAATCTAAATCTACACTTGGAGCAATGGGGCAAGGAAAAAGAGACCCAAAGCTCTATGAACTCTGATCAGAACAGTTGAAAAGACCTGCATCTCCTTACTCCTGCATATAATCTCTGTGAGTTCTGAAAAGGAACTCAAGAAATTGTTTGTAGCCTAGTATAGTGTGCCAACATTGTTTCCTCTGTAGTATGATATAGGACTGTCTTAAAGGCACCAGTGTGTTAAGGAATCTATATACAATTTTTTCCATTCTACAAGACAAACAAGGGGCCATTTATCTTTCCGTAAATATCCATTGTCATATGTCATGCAGAATCTCAGTAGATTTGAAATGGATTCAGCTGAGATAGGAGGATTGCTGTGAGTTCAGGGCTAGCCTGGGCTACAAAGTGAGTTAGAGTCAGGCTGGCCTATATCTTAAAAAGAGAGAAAAAAAAAAAAAATCAGGCTTTTAATTTATCATTTTACATACTGAAGGTGTAAAATTATGTTTTAATTAAAATTTAGTAGCAGTGAGTAAATAGTTTGTATTTTTTTGAGAGAAATTATGATTTTCATATACATAATTTATGAGGTTCTGCTGGGCTTAATAACAGTTAATGTATGAGTCAAGGTCAAGAGCAAGACCTTAATGACTATTTGTAGAAGAAATTTATATATTTCAGTGAGCATGAGTATTAATTGTTAGTTTTAATTAAATACAGCCAATTCTTGATTACAAAACTGTGGACATAGAGTTAATGCACAACAAAAATCATAAAACTTGACAGTAAGTGGTACTCCATAAGACTTAAATAAACTGAATTTAATTAAAGTCAGAATACTGATATAAATATTCTTTTAAAATCTATCCCAGCACCATCACTTTATTCTGCAATTCACAAAGATATATTTGGATTCCACAAAGTATATATATATATACCTTTTTCTGACAGAGATTATTATATTATATATTATTATATAATACTATATATATATATATATGTGTGTATGTATGTATATATATTTCTGACCAGTTAGAGGTAACTACTTGAAGTGTTTTTCTACCATAAAAACCTGAGACAACTGAATAATAAAATTTATAATTAGGTATAACTTTTCATGTATGGTTTCATTATATATGATTTTATGCTGAATTCTTCTACAATCTTTAAACAGATATAAAAGTTTTAAATATTCTCATAACTTACCTAAAAAAATTGACGTTAGCATGCTTATTTTCTCAGGATCTTATTACCCGGCCTTAAGAATAAATGTATTTGTAGGTCTACAAGTAATAATTGAAAACACAGTTTATTATTTGAGCATTAACTCCTGTGGGAATATATATGACACCATTACATGAGAATTTTTTCAGTGTACCAGGGTAAATCTTTTATCAATGAGGCCACAAAAAATCTGGAAAGTACCCTAGAATTACTCTCTGAAGGAACTGACGGTTATATTGTGTGCCAGTATGCACAAGACCCTAGGTTCAATCTTCACCACTAAGCTAAACTAAAGGAAAATTTAGTAAATTAAAATATAAAATTAAGTAATTATATAAAATTAAGTAATTAAAACTGAGCCCAGTTTTACCTAGATAGGTACCATTATGGGAAAAAATGGGGAGTTGGAAATTTACGTAAGTTAGTATTCACCAACCATAAAATACTTTTAATTTTGAAATCACATTGTCTTAGCTATTTCATTAATGAAAATAAGTATGTTAGTTTTATTAGACAGTTTAGGAGCTCATCCTTTGAAATAACACTTATGTATGTAACTTAAATCTATCATCATCAGGGGAAACAAATGTGCAAAGTCAACCATGTCATCTTCTTTCAGACTGTCACCTAGTCTGAAGAAAGTCCTATTAAAAAAAAATCTACCTAATTACATATAAGTAAGTTTTAATTTACTTAAGAAATTTAGTTCCTAGTTCATGAAATGTAACACATCCACAGGTGTTAATCATCAACACAAATCGTTACCTAGCCTGAAGCAGGTGTCAGAAAACCTGGGACACAAACAAACTGGCAAATGACAGAAAATTGTAGCCCTGGACAGGAAACTGGGCCTTGGAACATAGATTGCGGAGTGTACTTGTTTAGTGAATGCAAGGCTGTGGGTTTGACAACCCCCCCCCATCAAAAAGAAAAAGAAGAGAAGAAGCTGTTAACCAACATAAAGTCACTTTGCAAATATGAGAAAGTAGGAAAAGTTCTAAAAAGAAATGAATATATACTGATGTCAAAACCCACTGTGCCTCTTTCAAACACTTCCCTTAAATTGACTAGATGGCAAAGTTATTTTTTCCTAGCTTTGGATCAAAAGAAACTAGCTTCTAATTTTCTTGTCAGGCTATTGAATCATTTAAGAAAATCATCTTTATTCTCTTGTCAGCTCTCTCAAAGGGTAAATTAGCACAACAGATTGAACAATACTATGGATTGGGGTTGCAGTACAAGTTTAGAACATAGCCCTTGAAATCACTGAGACTTTAGGGCCTGCCACTTACTGGCTTGAGAATGTTATTTAACCTCTTTAAACTTGAGTCTGCTCAATCTGTGCAATGGGCATAAATCAATACTGAGTTCATATGGTGTCATAGAAAATCAAAAGAGATTATACATATATTTCAGCAAAGTAATGCCTAATGCACAATAATCAGACAGCATAAGTATAGAAAAATATTCAAGTTTAATTAGGACAGTAAAAGTAGTGATCAAGAGAAGAGTGATGATGATGATGATCGTGGTTGTTGAAGGAGAGGTAATTGTTTTACATAAGCAATATATTGTACAGAAGCAATATTATATGTACCTGACTGTTTTTTTTTTCTTTTTCTTCTTAATTTTCAGTGTGCACCTAATTGGCCTGTTGGTTTGGCAGTTCGATATTTCTGTGAGTCCAGTAGCAGCTATGGTAACTGACATTTTCAACACCTCCAATGGTGGACGCTTTAAATTCCCAGACGGGGTACAAAATTGGCCAGCACTTTCAATTGTCGTTATAATCATCATGACAATAGGTGGCAACATTCTCGTTATCATGGCAGTAAGCATGGAAAAGAAACTGCACAATGCCACCAATTACTTCTTAATGTCCCTAGCCATTGCTGATATGCTAGTGGGACTACTTGTCATGCCAATTTCTCTGCTTGCAATCCTTTATGGTAAGTACAACTCTTTCAGCTTTTCAATCTTACTTTGCACTGTAAATTTGTGCCAGGTATCATAATAAACTTCACAAAGTTCAATATTTTACCTATAGTATTTGGCAAAGGAAGACAAAAGCAAGTTATATGACAGAACAAAATGATTGTCTTTAGATTTATTAAATAGATCAGCAGCAAAGCTTTCAAAAAGGAAAATAGACATTTTATAAAGTTAAAATTATATATAGATGCTTTATTCTTAAGTGTTATTTGTATATAAGAAATCACCAGTTGTAAAGAATGAGAGAATGACAGAAATATCCTTCATGCCCATACTCTCTAGTCAATTCACAAACCATCTCTAACACCAAAAAAGAAAAGTGGATATATAGAGAGAGTGTGCTTTTTGTTTTTTGTTTTTTGTTTTCTTTGAGACAAGGTTTTACTACGTAGTTCCAGCTGTCCTCAAATCATGACAGTTGTACTTTTTCAGTGTACTCAGTGCTGAAATTAGATGTCAGCCACTGTGCTTGGCTCATCTTCTCTAATAAATACATTTTAGTTAGTCCTTAGTTATTATTGTTGGAGGAAGGTTTGCTGAGGATGGAAACTAGGGCCTCATGCATACTAGGCAAAACTCTACCATTTTTATTTTATTTTATCTTATCTTCTATATATGTATTTTTTCTTTTCCCTTTCTTGTTTTCTCCATTCCCTCATCTCACTTTCTCTTTCCTTTGAATTGTTTCTTCTCATTTCACAAAACCTGTTGTACATTTTGGATCTTAGTTACTCTTCGTTTCTCGCACTAGAGAGACAATGATGTTTACACATCTGAGTCAGATTTATTTCACTTATGAGTATAGCTGAGCTTGAAATTTTAAAAACCACCCACAAACTATTAGCTACATTCAAAGAAATTCAGAGATGCAGCCAATCTTAATCTCTCTCAAACTATCATCTAAAAAAATTAAAATTTCAAAATCAGAAGAGGATACTTGACAAAAAGTTCTACCAGTAAAATGAACAAACAAAAGGAAAACATTAAAAAAAAAAAAAACATTTCAAATGAAATTAAATGCCTCCAAACAGTGCCAGGAACATAGCTCAGTGCCACAGCACTTGCCTGGCAAGTGCAAGGTCCTAAGTTCAATTCCTGGTACCAAAAATAAATAAATAAATAAATAAAATAAACAAATATCTTCAAACACATATTTAAGGTACTTAAAAAGTACCCATGGGGGCTGGGGACTTAGCTCAGCGGCATAAGCGCGTGCCTTGTAAGCGGCAGACTTGTGAGTTCGATCTCGTACCCAAAAAAAAAAAAAAAAAAAAAATACCCTGCAGTAGTAACCTAAATAACAATAGAATTGATTTTTTATTTTTAAAAAGGTTGAAATTTTGTTTATACTATCACATATAATAAAATCCAATAAGATACAACACGACAAAACCTATGGAGACAGAAGAACAAAAGCATGATGGGGCTTCAAAACAAGCTGATGTTAACAAAATATTTTATAGTCAAGGAGATAATATAGAAACCATTGTTCATTTTCAGTTAGTTGGTTCTAAACACCCTGTAATACTTTTACCCTCTAGAATGGTTTTAAACTGTCTTGTTATGTTTGATAGTATACGAAGGCCTACTCAAATATTTCAAGGAAAGAGACACTATGGTAGCTACTGTTATGTCGGGTTATCCTGTGGTGAAACACTATGTTGCTTAAATTGTTCTGTTCTGACCTGTGTTGTTATGTCCTCTTTCATCTTAATCTCCCCCTTTATATATATTTTTTAAATAAAAAAGATATGCAAACTATGCCAAATTCATCATTAAACAGACTATATTTTTAAAAAGGTTGAAATTAATTATACTCTTAAAATTAATAATACTATTAAAATAATACTATGAAATTAATAATACTATTAAAAATATTCAAACTAGAAAGGAAGAGTTAATAAGAAAAAATTGATCTAATGTAATTATGCATGATAGGATTATAAAATTAACCACTAGAACAACAACTAAAAACTTCCAAAATACCAAAAGAGATCTAATTAGTAAAGATATAGAACTCTTCACCATAAAAAGGAAAACAAAACATAGTTTAATTAATGTTATAACAGGATATGATATTGGTATTAGATGACCAGGGTTGTTTCCCAAGAATGAAACCACTGGACAGAGGGGGTAGGTTGCAAGCAAATTTATTTAAAAGATAAGAAGATAAGAAAATAAAATATATAAAGGAAAGAAAGTTAAAGAGCAGAGGGGCTGGAGATTTAGCTTAACGGCATGAGCGCCTGCCTTGCAAGCAGGCAGTCCTGAGTTCGATCTCCGGTACCGATAAAAAGGAAAAAGACAAAAAAAAAGATAAGAGCAGAGAAGTAAAGCTCTTACCAGGTTACAGTTCTAGATGAAATATCAAAGAAGTGCTCTTTGTTTAGGAGTTTTTAAGTGGTTTAGAAGGGATCTTGGGTCACTGTATAAACATATGATCTCTACCCTATAGAAAACAGTATATTTTGAGGGGTTTAATCCCCGTGGTGTCCATCCAGTCCATGTTTCCTTGAGCCACTGGCCTGCTTGATTGTGCTCTGGGAAGTTTGCAGACAGCCTGAGGATACCTGGCAGATGGTTTTGTAAGATTTCTGTAGGGCTATGATGCAGAGGACCACATTTTGTTTTGCTTGACTCCATTTTGAGGCTGCTGTCCTTACTGACTAATGGAATCTTAACTGTTCTCTTACTAATTCTTGTTATAACGTGACAGAGTTGAAATCAAACATAATTTTTTTTTATTATTTTGAGGAGAATAAAACCAAATTAAATAAAACAGAATAGAGTCAATCAAAACCAAGCAATGAATATGGTACGTGACTTCAAAGCAAGATAAAAGGAAATCAACAATGGCTGCCATAATGCCACTTGTTACTTCAAAATAATTGCACATAGCATCAGGGCAAAATAAAATCAAATGAAATAGTACAGAATAAAACCAATAAAAACAAAATAATGGGAGCAATACAGGACTACAAAACAATAGGGAAACAACAGTGGCTAACGTAATGCCTTTTGTTATTTTTTTTTTTTTTTCTTTTTCCTTTTTATCGGTACCAGGGATCGAACTTGGGGATGGAACTCACTATTGCCTGCTTTGCAAGGCAGGTGCTTATGCCACTGAGCTAAATCCCCAGCCCCCAGCCTCTGGTTATCTTTAAAGTAGTTGCCTATGCCATCAGACATAATAAAATCAAACAAAACGAAACAATGAAAGCAATACAGGGCTTCAAAATAAGATAATAGGAAATCAATAATGGCTACCATAATGTATTTTGTAATCTTAAAATAGTTGTACATGGCATCAAGTATAATAAAATCAAACAAAACAAAACAAAACAGAGAAAAACCAAACTAAACCAAACCATGAAAATAGTACAGGGTTTCAAATAAGGATGACAGATTAACAATGGCCACTGCCTTCTGCTTTTAGACACTTCCTTCCCTTTCACAGTCGTAATATCTATTGTGCATTTTGAATCCCACTAAGTCCTTTAATTTCTTATACTAGGGAGACAATAGGACTTTCACCCATGTGACTCTGAATCATTTCACCTGTGAGCATGATCTCAAGTTGTATCTATTTACCTACAAGAGCTTCAAGGTTATCTTTCTTTATAGCTGAGTAGCTTTCCATTGTATGAAAATGCCGTGTCTTTCTTCTTCACTCTGCAGCTGATGGGCAAGCTACCCCCCCCCTTTTTCTGGTTCTCTGTCACAAAGGGCATTGTTCTCTCTTCTTTGACTTTCAGTCTATGAACAGTCTTTCAAGTTAAATGTGTTTCTTTATAAGGCAAATTGATAGATCCTTGTCTCCTGATCCACTTTGCCTGTATTTCCTTTTATTGGTGAATTGAGACTATCTAAATTAGTGATTATGGCTAATATGCACTGTTTTGTCTCTGCCATGCTATTTTCCTGCCATTGGCTGCCTACTTTCCCCCTCTATTCAGTTGTCTGCCATGTTCAGTGATTCCCCTCTACCACTGTTCTTGGAACCATAGTCATTTTTATCTCTCTCTAGAACATTCTTGGCAGTCATGAATTCCTTCAGTTGTTCTTTGTCATGGAAGTATCTTGTTCTTCCATTAAATTTGAAAGATAATTTTGCAGGGTACGTCAATCTGTGCTGGAAGTTGTTTACTTCCAGGACTTGAAACATTTCACTCCATCCTCTTCTTGACTTGATGGTTTGTGCTATGAAGTCTGTCATGATTCTGATGGGTTTTCCTTTATAGGTGATCTGTTTCTTTTCTATAACAGCTTTTAATATCCTGTTTTTGTGCTGAGTTTTGGGGATCTTCATTATTATATGTCTGGGTGTAGATTTATTTTGGTCATGGCTACTGGAGTTCTATATGCCTCACTTATCTGGCTGTCACTTTCCTTTCCCATGCTTGGGGAGTTTTCTGATGTTATTTCGGTAAGTGCACTTTTAATGTCATTTTTGTTGACCCCTACCTTTTTGCTGACACCTATCATTCTTAAATTATTTTTTTGAGTTGTCTTGCAGCCATTAAATTATTACTTCCTGGTTCCTTGTTATTTTTACAAGATCTTTCCTTTTGTGATCACAAGTTTTCAAACCTGTCTTTAAAGTTTGAAAGTCTATCTTCAGTTTCTTTCTTTTTTTTTTTCAGTTTCTTTGAAGTGGTTTTACCAGCTGTCATTGGAGTATTTAATAGTTCTTCATTTTTTTATCTATGTCTTCTTTAGAGGTGCTTAGCAGGAGGCCAAAGCCATCAGATTGCAAGTTTTAAGGCATCTCAGACAATTTAGTGAGAACCTGTATGAAAATTTAAAAACAGAAAGGGGCCAAGGGTTAGTTCAGTACTTCCTGCGTTCAATCTCCAGTAGCATTTTTAAATGGTCCAAATTAGCTGAGTGTGGTGGCACTCTTCTGTAATCCCAGCATTTGGGAGGCTGAGGCACACAGATTGTTGCAAATTCGAGA